AAGCTTGTGGATGTGTAGATTAATTTGTAATATACAAATCTATTACTATTTTCAAATATCTGTCTTTACCCCTCTTTCTTCTGGGAATGCTATTATGCATTCATAGGTAAACTTGACAATGTCCCACAAATCTCTGAGGCTGTTAATTTTCCTCCATTCTTTCTCCTTCTCCTCAGACTGGTAAATTTGAATGGATTTACCTTCAAGCTTGCTGATTTTTTTCTTGTGACTGCTCAAATATGGTGTTGAAGTCCTCTAGTGAATTTTTCATTTCAGTTATTGCACTTTTCAATTCCAGAATTTCTATTTCGTTCTTTTTAAAATTTCTCTTCATTAATAATCTCAGTTCAGTGAGACATCATCCTAATGGTTTCTTTCATTTCTTTACACATGATTTACTTTAGTTCTCTGAACATATTTAAAATCATTAATTTATAGTCTTTGTGCATTAAGTCTAACATGTGGACTTCTTTGGGGTAATTTCTATTGACAAATTTATTTTGGGGGCATGAGTCATAATTTTTGTTTCTTTAAATGTCTCATAATTTTTTGTAAACTAAGCATTTTAATAATATAATGTGGAAACTCTGAAAATCAAATTAGATTCACTTTCCTTCTCGGTCTTTGTTTTTGCTGTTGTTGTTTACTGATTTTTTCAGAATTAAATTTTTGAAGTCTATTTTTTGTCATATGTGGCTACTGAAGTCTCTGTTTCTTAGAGGTCAGATAACAACTTGACAGAGATTTCCTTAAATACCTATAATAAGCAAGTCCCCCTCTTGCAGAAAGAATCTGTGTGTTAGAGCATACCCAGTGGTTGATAACTCTGCTTTAGTCTTCATTTCCTGTTTAAATGGAGCCTCAATGTCAGATAAAAATGGAAATTTAGAATATTCTCAGAGAGATTTGTTTATTTATTTATTTTTTGACCACGTTCTGTCCCCAGCCCTAGATTCCTAGATTCCTAGATTCACAGGAATATGGCAGAGTTTTTTCAAAGCCCTCTATGAATATCTCATTGCCCTACTTTTGTACAATTTTTAAAAAGTATTAAAAAATTTTTGATGCTTATTTTTGACAAGTACCCTAAGTAAAAGATTATTTGCCCTGGTGTGCTCCAAGTCAGTTCAAATAAAAACAAGCCTAATATATGAGGTCTTCCTGGGAACCATCAGGTGTCTCAAATAATGACAGTTCTCCACAAATAGAAATTTTGAAGGAGTTCCAACCCTGTCCTATCCCCATGAATGTGCACTCTTGTTTGCAATGGTTACACAGAGCTAGAGAAGATAGGAATCAGGGTAAATAACATGCTGCAAAGCATGCCATTCTTTTTCTGGAATAAGCATTCCTGGATTATTGCAAGCCTTTGTTTAACAAAAACTCCAGGATTCTGAAAAGTTAATTCTGATAACATTACCAGTATTCTCATTGCTTTTATGGAGGAAAAGATTCCTAAAGTTCCCTTCTTTACCCTTCCCACTGATGTACTAGTTTTTATTTTTAGGTTTTTTTTTTTTTTTTTTTTGTGTGTGTGTGTGTGTGTGAGAGAGAGAGAGAGAGAGAAATGTTTATTTAGGTATACCACTTATAAACAACCTTTCTAAAGTTCCATTTGGAGAACTTTTGCCTTTTATTAGGAGAAAAGTAAACTCTTAATACATTCTATTCATGAATATATTTTATCTTAGCCCTACTTCTTTATTTTATATTTTCTATTATTTTTTTCAATTATTTTTAGATTTTTCTTTATTCAACTCTACTCTAATAGTCTGAAGTTCTCCTTCCTAGTTGCTTTAATATTAGTTACTATAAAGATACATCCCAAAAATATCTGAACTTACATTTTTCTCTCAATATAAAAACTAAATAATATACTAAGTACATAAAATCAGACTCAAGACAATTTTAAAACAAGCAAGAAAAATAAATCATTACAATATACTTCAGTGTCTCTAGTTTGGGAAGAAGACTTGGTGTAACCTGAACAATTACTGCTATTAATCAAGTGGTTAAAATGCACCAAACAAGATAGTACCTTTTATGTGTTGATTAATATTCACAACTCATAAGAAATGTACTATTATGCCCATTTATATATGATTAAATAACTCAGAAAATTTAAATAAAGTGTCCAAAGTCACATAGATTGCAGGTAACGATATCAGGATAGATGTCTGGGTACACCAAATTCCAGAGCCAAAACTACACTGATTTTCAAATGCTTCTCTCTTTCCATAAGGGTAAAAAAAAAATAGAGTTGGGAGAGGTATTTATATTTATAAACATAGATACCAGAAAATTGTTTTGTCACTATCTTTCATCTGGCAAAATTTTAAATATAGAGGAGAAGAACAGACCATAATGATAGATGAAAGCTAGAAGAGTGGAAACATACTGAAGAATAGCTGGAAGAAAGGGACAGCTGGGGGAGTGTGAGAAGGGAGTCAAAGAGACAGAGAAAGTCAACCTGTTTTGACGGAAGGAAACAGATGGGAGATGAGCAAAGACAAAAGGGGCCCTGTGGGTAGGTGTCATCAGTTAGAGGGCAAGTCACTGGAATTTGATCAATCGACAAGAATTTATTTACTGGACTCCTGGGCATTGTAGGAGATACAAAAGAATGTAGAGTTATTTTGGGAACAATAATGATGTAGACAAGACAGATGGCTTAAACTAGGACATTAATGCTGAAGGAAAAGGCTAGAGACAGAAGGCAGAAAGAAAGAGGTTAAGGCAATCCCCATGTGATCCAGCTTGCACATGAATCTGGAATTTTTGTAGGTATGAAAAGAAATAAATTAGAGGAAGTCCTGTAACTGCTATTGAAGCAAAGGTAAAGAATTTATAGATGGAAGGACAAAGATGACAAATAACCTAACTTTTTCTTTTCAGCTTTTGTGAATAATTAAAATGACTATTTATAAACTCAAACACACACACACACACACACACACACACACACACACACACACACAGTACAGACAATGCCTTGTGTCATTCTTCCAAATGTTAAACATGCCCACTTAGCTAAGACTGGGTGGGGCCTGATGGATGTGACTAAGTCTGATTGTGCCTGATCACCTTGTAAGGAGCCAGGAAATCTTTCTGTCTTGGAGGAAATTGCAAGTAAGACTTAAAACATGCCTAAGGACATTTAGCAATGGCATGAAGATGGATTTGCATTTGTTGAAGTGAAAGTAATTAAGGTTGGTTGGTGCCAGTGAAATGTAACCAAGCTGAGAAGTAAGACAGACTTTCCAAGTCTTTCTCCTATATTGCAAGTAACAGACTCTCCTATGTGCACTCATTTATTTTGAAGTATTTATTGATATTTTCTATAACAAAACATTAGCTACTAGGAGTCCTCCTATACACTAGGCTCTTTGCATGCATTGTTACATCAAATTCTCATAACAATAATATGCAGATGCCATATTATCCCCATTTTATAAAGGAGAAAAATGAAATTGGTTAAGTAACTTATCCAAGATTACACAGTCAGTAGGTGAAAGAGTAGGAATTTATACTCTAATCTGTTTTATTTCTTTTACCTTGTGCCACATGTTAGGCACTGAGGATATACAAATTAGGATTTGGCAGTCCTCACCCATAAGGAACATATGGACTAGCTGAGAGACCCAGAGCCAAGCAATTGTAATATGATTGCCATAAAGACATATACCAAATTTGCCTGGGAGTGTCAGAGACTTCTTAAAAATATACTTTAAGAATTGATAACCATTTCTAAGGTGATGAAAACAGAGATTCACTTCTCTTACATATAAAGTAATATATGCAAAGACCAAGAGGAAAAAAACCTTTGAATTATTTAGTAAAAACTCCACAGAGTTCAGAAGGATTAAAATATAACATGTAGAAGTACAGTAAGAGATGAGAAAAGCACTTGTATCTGAGGCTAAAGAATTTATATTTTATCTTTTGGGAACTGAAGAATCATCAAAATCAGTTCTGTGAAGAGTTTGATCAATAAAAGATTTTCTACACAGCTTTATGTCATAGGGTCTGTAAGGGTCTAAAAACTTAAGGCCTAGCAATGATCTAAAGGTCACAGCTAAGTAGCAATGCAGCCTTACAAATGAAGACTCCACTCAAATTTGATAGGAGGTGTTTGGAAGACAGCAGCATGCCCCAGAGGTTTCCTCAGTGATGAAAATAGTGAAAAGATTAGAATATAAATTTGCATTGAAGTACATTGGCTAGTGATTTCATTTGTACATTTGCTCATTCAAAACACACACACACATTCACACACTAGGTGGTCATAGTCTTGGTAGCAACAATATTTCAATAACAATATCCCCAAATAGTGGTGGATGACTTTTGAAATGACATGACTGATCTCTTAAAAACTGACTTCAGTTATGACATTAGTGGGACCTGTTAAGAGATTTTTGGAACAACAGCTAAGTCTATTTGGAGAATGCACATAGAGAGTACCCTGGAAGATCTCTATCCTGGGCACACTAAGTGAACACAATTAACTTCACAATTTGACTGCTATCCTCAAGAGAAATGGAGGGTGTTCAGGGAACAACTACACTTTTTTATCCACCCAACAAAGGCCAGTGTCTAGGCCAGTGTCTAAATAGAAAAGTACCAATTGCATATATCCAAGATAATTGGACACACCCTTAGGTTTCAGAATTGACACACTTCCTCAATTGGATGAGATACCAAAAAAGACTAAAGTCATATATATATATATATATATATATATATATATATATATATATATATAAATGAATATGTAATATAGTAAATGGAGGTTGTCATTCCTGCTACCAATTATCTCTGTGGTCATAAACAAGCTACTTCCTTTACCTGGGTTTCAATTTTCTCATCTAAACCAGAAAGAAATTAGGTCTGATGATCTCTGATGTCCCTTCCAGTTATGATATTGTATTAGGATTCAAGATGGTTACTATCAACTTGCAGTTATAATGTGTAAATAATACATAAGATTTTCCTTTTCCTAGGAACTGCTGTATAAAAATGACCCAACAGATGCAGAATTTACATCTTTCCCAGTCAAAGAAGCACAGTGCCCCATCGTCCCCCAATGCTGCCAAACGCTTGTACCGGAATCTCTCAGAGAAACTGAAAGGGAGCCACTCCTCATTTGATGAGGCCTATTTTAGAACAAGAACTGATCGGCTGGGTCTTAGGAAGACCTCGGTGGTAACAACAAAACTCTTTTTAGTCTTCTGTCAATTAGATTTGTTTATTTACGTTTGGGTTTAAAGAAATTCTAAGATGATTCACATTCATTTCTGAAGCTCATATTTTTACAGTTTTATGCTGAAATAGAATCTGTCAAGATGGGAAGTGCACCTATCCATGATTGTGGACAAAGTATGAGTGATTATGAGATTTTTCCTTTCTTTTTCTTAACTTCTTTCCCTTTAATGTTTCTTTCACTACTAGACCAAAGAAACCAATCAAAAAAGTAGCTGTTTGACAAATATGGACTCTCAGGTTAAATAGTTTTTTTTGAGAAGTCCAGTAATCATTCAAATAATAGTATTAATATTACTTACTTACATCTAATGTATAATCCACATGCTTTTCAAAGACATAAAATAGAATCCAGGCAAAGAATGCATATTTACTATATAATAGCTAGGAGTATAAGGGATAAATAGCAAAAAAAAAAAAAAAAAGAAGAAGAAGAAAGAAAGAAAGAAAAAGAAAATATATGATCTAGATAGGGCAGAGGGGTGGGAGGGGAAGGGAGAGGGCAGGGGGTTAGCAATGATGGTGGAATGTGATAGACATCATTATCCAAAGTACATGTATGAAGACATGAATTGGTGTGAACATACTTTATAAAAAAAACAGAGATATGAAAAATTGTGCTCTATATGTGTAATAAGAATTGTAATGCATTCTACTGTCATATATTTAAAAAATAAATTCAATTAAATATTTTTAAAAAGAAAGAAAATATATGAGCATGAAAAGAGAAACACACATACCAAAAACCTAGGCAAATAGACTACATGAAATTTATTATGACACTTATCTTTGAGTTCTCAGGCAGTGAAAGCAGAAAAGGAAACAGAACTGGTTTTGGCATCCCATTAGCTGATAACTGAAAGTGTTATCAGTCCATCAAGAGAAATGAGTATTTTCCTGCTGCTACGTCATCTGGCCTGCATAGATGTCATAGTAAACTAGGTGACAACAAATAGCAAAGAGAAGTATTGGCAATACCGTAGATGTTCTCATATGGTAGTCTTCTATATTGGCCCTCAGTAAAATCTGAGCGCATAACATGCACATGTTCAACACAGGTATTTTTGCAAGGTTATAATGGCTCCATTTGTTTGAACTTAAAACAGAAGTGAGTCCTGACCTTTCCAGATAGAAGCAAGTTAGAATTTGCCAACAAAAGCATAGAGCAGGAAATGACTAAAGAATGAAGGTAAATATGGATCATGAGAAATCAGAAATACTAAGAATCAAAAACAAATACACACTATGGACAGGGCAGCATTTTAACTTTGAACTCATTTGTTTTCTAATACATTTTCTTGTTTCTAACTCATCTTCTGGGAGGGTTTGGCTGTGGTTAAGTTGCAGCCCAAGCATCAGAGACCTTTCAGTTTAGCAGATTGTGGACAAAACATTTTTCACTCAGCAGCTATTCTATAGCAAAGAGAACTGCATACAAAAATAGCTCTATTCCCTGGGTTCCCACTGTCAAAATGAGCATTTGCATAATCACTTCATATTTTCCTTAGTTCCCATTTTGTGGGGAGTACTCAGTTAAAGCCAACCAGCAGTCTTTGAGACAATCAATTTTTAATAAGACTTTTTAAAAATAAAAACTGCCCATCTAAACATTTGGTCACCACAGATCTTCCACATGCTAATCAGGCAACTATGGTGCTAGGTCAAGATCAATGGTATTTCAACATTTTAAAGACCAAGCAACTCTTGGAGAAGATACCAGATAAATATGTAAGTAGTGTATGTGTTGGTCTCTTCCTATGAGCTACAGAAATGATGTAAGAGAATTCCAGAGCACTTCTTCATTGCTAATCCTTTGAAAGAACCATATTGTCCATAGATATCTTTTTCTGTAGCTGGCTTGTTTATTTCATTCTGGCCCTCTCAGGTCCCCAGTTAGTTACAGAGTCCCTGAAACCCTCCCTGGACATTGCCACTTGTGCCCCTCACCACAGGGCTCAGAAATGCCAGGTGTCCAATGGTTGGGGCTCCGGGTTAAGAAAGTATGGAAGTAGAGACCAAGAGGCTAGGAATAGGGGCATCAGCTCATAGGCACTGGGAAGTGCTTAGTGATCTATAAACAGAGAAGTGACATGCAGTATGTATTATTATGGTTCAGATAAGAGGATCCCCCCAAATGTTCACATGTGAGACAATGCAAGAATTTTCAGAGGTGAAATGATTAGATTTTGAGAAATTAGATTGTGACCCAATCTGCGTATTGATCCATTTGAATGGATTAACTAAGCAGTAATGGTAGGCAGGCAAGGTATAGCTTATCTAGAAGAGGTATGTCACTGGTGGTATGCCTTTGGGAATATATTTTGTCCCTGATGAAAAGAATTCTCTCTGTTTCCTTGTTGCCACGTCTGGAGCCACATTCCTCCACCATACCCTTCCACTATGATGTTCTGCTCACTTTGGGCCCAAAGCAATGGAGTTGGCCATCTATTGACTGAAACCATGAGCCCCAAATAAACTTCTCCTCCTCTACATTATTCTTTTCAGGACTTTTGGTTACAATGACCAAAAATTTACTAAAATATGTATATTTTAGGAAGATTATTCTTGTGACAGTACAGGAGACCAAGAGTAGCAGCAGATAGGTCACTGCGACAAGTCAAGACAAAGGATGATAAAACTTGCAGATGGAGAGGAAGGGGATGAGCTTGAAAGAAACTGTACTCTCCATATCAAACCAGCCCTGATTAAACTACATGTGCTAACATTATCTATGCCAGCATTCCCCAACCTGTGTTCTATAGCACACTATTCCAGGTGTAGGTAGAGCTAAATACAATAAAACACATGTAAAAATAATTGACATCAGATATCCTACAGTCAATAATTGAGTGACTTAGTTTAACCTAATGTTTACCATATTTATTTGACTATATGCTACTTTCTTCACAAGAACATCTTTTAATGACCTATCAAACATTATTCTTTCCACAGAGAATTGGTTTAAGATGTTTATTTTGTGCTTACTTACAAACTAGCACTGCTATACAGTGCAGTATTTTCTCAGTTCATCTACTTATAATATCTGTTCAATGCCCATTGGAAAGTAAGCAGAGACCACAAGAATGGGATCCTAATTAGAGTAACTTATACTCCATGTATGTATAATAATTTGTCAAAATACATTGTACTGTCATGTGTATCTAAAAAGAACAAATAGAAAGAAAGAAAGAAAGAAAGAAAGGAAGGAAGGAAGGAAGGAAGGAAGGAAGACGGGCAGGTCCAATCCAGTGTTTACTTGGTAGACCTTAGGATTAATCTTGGTTATGCAACTATCTGTATATAAGTGGGCACATAGTCCCTGAAGCAATCTTTAAAGTTCAGTATAGCTATGCCACAAAGACACACTGGTCTAGCAAACTATACTAACCTGCTTTCACTCTTCTCCAGAATTTCCAGGGCAACGAAGCCATGTTTGAAGCAGTTGAGCAGCAAGACATTGATGCTGTGCAGCTCCTCCTGTACCAGTACACACCAGAAGAGCTAGACCTCAACACGCCTAACAGTGAGGGACTAACGCCCCTGGATATTGCCATCATGACCAACAATGTGCCCATTGCTAGGATTCTTCTGAGGACAGGAGCTAGAGAAAGTCCACACTGTAAGTAAGCCTGAGAATAGAATTGCCTACTAGTAGAGCTAGATCTCTGCTTTAAACTACTGAAATAACCATTGCTGATCTTCCAAGTAAGAATGGTTGCCTACTCAAAGGCTCTGAAACCCTTTACAAATTTTCTGGACTTTCAGGCAAAGAGCAATTGTGTTTTTCAGTCTAAGCATTTAATTGCATTTTAATTCAATATGATGAATGATATTGAAAAGGGATAAAAGAATTTTATCCCAAGCTTTCAAATATGTAAGATACTTCCAAAGATGATGCAGAGTAGGAGACACACATATTTTAAAAAAATGAGTACGTATGTGTTTCTGTTTCTGTATCTACAGTTAATGTTGTGGCTTCATTCATTCATTCAACAAGCAATGAGTGCGGGGAACTGTTCTAGGTACTAAGAGTACAGTAGTAAAAGAGAAAAACTGTCTCCTCCTAATGGAGGAGACTTCCAAAAAGCATGTAAATAGATAAAATGTAAATTCAAAGAGTGATAAATTCCATGAAAAAAAAATTTAATATTTATTTTTTTAGTTCTCGGCGGACACAACATCTTTGTTTGTATGTGGGGGCTGAGGATCGAACCCGGGCCACACGCATGCCAGGCGAGCGCGCTACTGCTTGAGCCACATCCCCAGCCCATGAAAAAAATTTTAATGAGTGGCTAGAGATTGATGGGAGGAGACCATATTAAACTTTTTACACAAGGAAAGCTTTTCTGGTTTGATGATATTTTAGTTAAGTCCTAGATAATATAAAGAAATTATCCATGAAAAGATGTGGGGGTCAAATTCTGGGCATATTGTGTAGAAAATAGAAAGATGCTGAGCAGGCAGGGATGAGATCAATGTATTGCAAGAATAAGAAGGCCAAAGGAGCTAGCAAAGTATCAAATGGGAACATAGTGGCCAAGGAAGAAGTCACTAGGACCCGACTGAGCAGGTCCTTGAGACCATGCTAAAATGTTTCACACTGATGACTGAATGGGATAAGAAGGTGGTGGAGCAGTTTAGGCAGGTATATGCCATAGTCTGCTGTCCATGAAAAGATCACAGTGGTGCTAGAGTCAGTACAGTGGCAAGGATGCTGTGAATGGTAAGACCAGTTAAGAGGCTATTGTAACAGAGAGGTAGACAGACACTGGTTTCTTTGACTAATAGGATCATGATGTTGGCCAGTGGCAGAATTCTAAACACACACACATGATTTATTAAGATATTATATATGTATAATAATATTATGTCATAATAAGCACATACATATATATGCTTTATTAAGATATAATCCTCACATCATATAATTCATCTGTTTAATTTGATTATCTTTAGAATATGCACAGTCATGAAGACATCACCACAGTCAGTTTTAGAACTTCATCATTCCCAAAAGAAACCTCATGGCCTTTTGTGACTGGCTTCTTTCTGAATCTGCTTCCAAGTAGAATCTGTGATAGTAACTGCAGAGGCAGCTGCTTAGGGGCCAGTGGCAGACCCTGCCCAGAATTGTGCAGGTAATACCATATAGCATCAGTCTGTGCCAGGCACTATTCTGAGTTCTTTACATGTATTGACTCCTTTAATCCTCAAAACACCATTTTGGGATAGATACTCATAGTCTCTTTGGTGCAAACTCTCTGACCTAATGACCACAGTGGCTCTCTGCCACTGTTTTTTATGTTTCCTAAAAGAAAAAAAGTAAACACTTCAAACTGTTAGTTTCTTTAATACTGCTTCACTTATTTCCAAGTAGGGAGACCCAAAAGGCTGGAAGAGAAGTAAATGACTATATAATTTGAGAACACATCTCTACTCCTACATTTCATAAACCACTACTACCCAAAGACTGGATATGGAGGCAGATCCTTATATCAGAAAATTCTTTATCTGAAAAATGTTAAGCTTACCACATCCATGTCAGAGAGAGTGAGGATTTGGGTTCAATAGTATTGGGGCTCCTCAAAAGCACTCCATAGTCAAAGTGCTGCTCCTTTTCTGGTGAAACTAGAGGTTTTGGAGGGATGGCAAATTAGGATGGAATAAATCAAAAGGTCACTTTTGTTGCCTTCTGATTCATTTGGCAATAATGTCTGTCCTGGAGACTCAGTGAGAGAGGGATGGAGAGAGAATCAGAAGGTCTGACCATGGAGAAAGCAGACTTAGCCCCATTCTATAGGAACAAGGGGACTATTCATCCAGAAGTTGCCTCAGCCGTCCTGCACTGGGTTGGATGAAACATTAGTCCTACTTACCTGAGACACTGTGGCGAATTCTGCATTTTTCCCTGAGAACAGTAAGACTTCTAACCTCTCAAAGCCCCCATGTGCATAAATGAGCCTCCATAACTGAACTTGAGGAATAACTATCTAGTTAAGCCAAAACCAAAGTTGTCCAAGAGGTCCCTATTTTCTCTGGGAAGATAAGCACATTATCATTACAAAGTTGCAAAGGACAGAGAGTGAGAGATAAGCCCAGGCTTCAGCTATGAAATATGACACCTAAGTCACCAGGACCACCCAAGAAGTCAAAGAGATAATACCACACATAGACTGACACATGTGTAAAAAAAAAATGGCAAAGGAATATTGATTGAGAGCCTATGAAGTCTGCATACACAGTATCTCTGGTGTTTACATTTACCCATCATTATGATATCTCAATTCAATTTTGAAGATAAGAAATCTGTGATTCTTGCAGGTTATGTGACTGAGCAAAGGTCACACATCTAGCAACAAACACGGATGTCAGGGACTCAAGTCCCCATCTGTGGGATGTCAATACCTGGGATCCTACACAAACTCACTGACTTTCTAGGTAACCAGTATGGAGGGCAGTGGCTACTAGAAGCCCACATCTTTCCCTGTGTGATGTTCCCTAAAATCCTATGGTGCATTTCTTTGTTCTGTTCTGTAACTGAGGTGCCATTTGTGTTGGAGATTGACAGGATAGAAGAACGCACTGTTTTGGGGAGTTTTGATACTTTCTTTTTAAAAAAATATTTATTTTTTAGTTGGACACAATATCTTTATTTATTTATTTTTATGTGGTGTTGAGAATCAAACCCAGGGCCTTGCATGTGCTAGGCGAGTGCTCTACCGCAGAGCCACAACCCCAGCCCAGTTTTGATACTTTCTATACCAAGTTCAAAAGAAATAGAATTGCTTCTGTTCATGAGTATGAGCTTGCCCAAGAGAAAAAACAGCCACAATGTTATAAGCAAACACCTGCTACAAGCCATTCCCAAGAAGTGGGAGAAACAGGATATAAGAAAAACAACAATGAGACCTTGAGTTCTTATACTGTTTTTACACACAGAAAAAAAAAAATGCTTTTGTCTACATCTTCTCACCTGATCTCCGCAACTGGCTTGTGAGGTAGGAGTTGTTTTTCTAATTTTACCAGCAAAAAATAATAGAATAAAAAAAGTTAAATAGTTTACCTAACATAAAGAAGCTAACAGGTGGTGGAGTCATGATTTGAACCCAGGTCATCTGTACCCAGTGCTTTGGTATTTGTAGAAAAGCTTTAGCAAATTCACTGTTATACAAGAGATGTTCAGTTCCTTTCTTCCCTGGTTCTCCATCTGCTCCTCTAATGACTATCAAATATTTCAAAACAGAGAAAATGGTTTCTAATATAGCTAATTTTATTTACTTACTTCCCCTATGCATTTCATTCTGAAAACTAGCCCTATACTCTTTTCACTATGCCAACCAAGGATCCTAACACAATTCAGAAGAAACTCCTCTGTAAAAAGAATCACAATGACACAGTTTGGTTTAGGGATTTACTTCCAAAGCCACTGGTCAGACCTGCCTTTAGCCCCTAGATCACAGAGCTAGATGGAGGTATTCTTTACAAACATGGCTTGATACTCAACCAGGCACATTTCCTTACTCATAAGAAAAGCCCAAGAAGCTGCCATCCACAGCTGCATATTCCTCTGAGGTTATATATAGAACCCCAGCCCAATGGTTAGATGAATTTGCTATCTTTATCCAGTAACTGTCTTCAGTTCCTCCCACCTGCAAGCAAGTAACACAAAGTACAGCCATCCCTCATTATCCAGAGGATATGTTCCAAGACCCTTAGTGGATGCTTCGAACTACAGATAGCATCAACCCCTATACAAACTCTCTTTCCTATACACACATACCTATAATAAAGTTTAATGTATGAGTTAGGCACAGTAACAGATTAGCAACAACAATAACAAAATAAAACAATTATAAAATAAAATAAAACAATTATAATGATAAAACATCATTACTATTGTATTTTGGGATAATTATTAAGTAAAATAAGGGTTACTAGAACAAAAGTACTGCAGTATCATGACAACTGATCTGATTACTAAGACCATTACAAAGTGACTAACAGGTGAGTAGTGTATACAGCATGGATACAATAGGCAAAGAGATGATTCTCATTCTGGTGGTATAGAGCAGGACAGTATGAGATTTTATCACACTACTCAGAACAACATGTAATTTAAAACTTATGAATTACTTCTGGAATTTTTCATTTGATATCTTTGGACTACACTTGGCCAAGGGTAACTGAAATTGTGGAAAGTGAAACCAGGAATGGGGAGCTGACTACTGTAATACTCGTATCCACAGAAGCAAACATCAGCCATTATTGAAGTAGAATCCCAAGTACTACCCTGCAGACTGTGGTGCTGAGCCTAGGAAACAGGCACAGAATCTGAAAGAAGGGATCACAAGACACCTGCAGCTATGCCACTGAGGATTTCCCAGTCACTATGATTCATGATCAATTGAACAGCTGCTATTTGAGAAAATCAATATATCTCTGTATAAAAACCCCCAGTCACACACTCCTCCCTTTTTCTAACTAACTCATATTTTGCCCCTACCCTGCAATCACAGTTCAACAGTCTCCAGGCAGAATTGCTAAATTATCAATGAGGGCCTTGCCTTTCTGAGGCTGCCATTGGTTTGGCATCAGTAAGGTCCTAGAAACACTAAAGAA